ACCATCGTCGGTCCTAGCTGCGTCGCCGACGCCACTGCGGGCTCGCGGCTGCCCTGCCCTTCCCTGCCATCGCGCAAACAAACACACACACACGCACACACACACACACACATTATTAATGATCGGGTAATAATTATTAATTATTAATCATCGGGCCGCGGCGCAGCGCGGCGGCGGGCGGCGCGAGGCGGCGGCGCGGCGAGGCAGCGGGCGACGCTGGGCGGGGCGGCGCGGCGGCGGGTGGGGTCATTACTTATTAATTAATTAATTAATACTTAATAATCATCGGGCGGCGGCGCGGCGCGGCGGCGGGCGACGCTGAGCGGGGCGGCGCGACCATCGGCAGACGCCTAGGTCTTTGGCTGTTGGTTGCTCGGCAATGGTCGCGCCGCCCTCGACTCGAGGGGCTGCCTTCCACCCGTAGCTGCTCAGGCCGGGGGAGGGGGAGAGGCCTCCTGTTCCTCGCGGAACGCGAGCAGGCCCCTCCTTGCCCGGTCTGCGATGCAGGGCGGTGGTCGTGCCATTGGCGCTTCATACACAACCACCACGCCGCAACCGTCGCCGGCGCGCGACACGTTCCCGTAGGCCGGACTGTCCTCGTCGAGAGTGTGTGCCGCCAAGGCGGGACACACTCAGGGACAGTGCCGACGGGACGCGGCTCGAAGGGCGTGGCTCCGCAGCGCGGCTGGCACTCGTCGCAGAGGCCTCGCCTTCGCAAAGTCGGGCATGGCTCTACCCGCAACTTTCTCGCTAACACGCGCGCACCGCCGAGCCTGCGGCGGGCGCGCTGCGGCCGCACGTCTAACTCCGTCAGAGTGCCACGACGTGCGGCCTAGAATTAGCACACGCGCTTCTGCTCGCAAACACTCACACATTGAATTGTCACTGCCCGTGAGTGCGAGATAGGGCTAGTGGCTGGCCGCTAGCCTCTGAGGAGGGCGTCCATAGACACCTCACATGACCCCACACACGGTCTCGTCCATGCCTTGCGGCTGGCGGCGAGATCACTAGAGGCGGAGCAAGCCTGCTCTAGCCTCGCATGTTACTTCCTGTCGTCTGTTGTGTTGTTGTGCCCTTGTTTGTTCCTTTGGCACCTTGGAGTGCTGGGGGGGGCGACAGGGAGGATGTGGCCCTGAGTTATGTGTACGCCACCTCAGGGTGTGTGGCAGCCACGCTGGCTGTGTGTCTTGTGAGCTTGTTTGTGTCTGTGTGTCGCTCGTGCACGTGTCGTCATCATCTGTATCTAGCGTCCACCCATACCGCGCTGGTGTCCAGTCCGAGCCTGACTGTTCTTCACCTTTCTACCTACCTACCTACGCACGCACGCACGCACACACACGTCCCAGCTCCTCAGAAATCCCGAGGAGCCGTGCAGTGCCTAGATAAGTCTGTGTGCTGTGCACGCCCTCCGAGCGGGGCGGGGGGTCTGCCCGTCGGGTTGCTGCCCTAATCCCACCAGGGTCCAGGGCTTGTGACTGCTCTATTTATTTATTTATGAATAGCACGCTATTTCCCGACGACAAAACAAATGATGTGTGAGTGTTAGAGTTGTTTGGTATTG